TAGTGATGGAGTCTCACCTCTCGGAGCAGCTTGTCCAGCTGGCCGATGACGTGGGAGGGCGTGGTCTGTGGACAGCAGACGGTGAAACATTTAGAAGAGTCTTAATGTGTGAAACAAGAACAAGCATCCTGGTCCGTACCTGCAGCAGAACTTTGCCGCTGTAGACGCTCATCGGATACATGGTGCCGAAGGTCATGAGGGCGATGGCGACGGCCGACGCCGTGTCCACCGCGTTGTAGTTACTGAACACAGGAAGAGGAGGAGAAGTTAAAAAGGGGAGGCGGCTTCTCCACGTTTACCGTAATGTCTGGACTATAAGCTCCTACTTCCTTCACATGCTTTGAACGCTGCAGCTTAAACAACGATGCAGCTAATTTATGGATTTTTACGAATTTTCCTCGAGACCAAAGTGACGCTGAGAGCGACGACGACAGAGAGACTGAGGAAGTGATGAAGGGATTCTGAGGCGTCGCCACCTGCAGCCCTTTTTAATTTAGGTTTGTTATTTTTGCTCTAACATGAGGGCGATGTTACAAACACGAGCATCCTCTGGCCTCTGCATGTCTCAGGACACATTTTAGTTCAGCAAAGTTGAGTTTCCAGCAGCGATGGAACCCACCAGAGCGTCTCAATGAGCCGGAGAGAGACGAACACTTACTTGATCTCTATGAGCATGTAGGTGATGCAGAGCGACAGAGCTCCGGCCACGTTGATCAGGACGAACGGGTTCATACGAGGCAGCAACACACTGCTCAGGCCTGGAATGATGCCACACAGACTGCACACACGCACACGCACACGCACACACACACACAGAAACATGATCAAATGATTGACGTTCGGCTCGTCTTCAGGTCGTTTCACCGTTAAAACAGTTAAACGTGATAAACATCAGCATCCTGTTGATTTAAAGTCTGAAGCTGGAGGCTGAAGTCAATGAAGGAGCAGCGACTGAAAGACAAACATGTCTGGTTCTACTGTCGGTTCTGATCAGCTCAGAACACGTGTGATCAGTTTATTCTGGTTTAATGCAGCAGCTGTCATCAGATCTGTCGCTGCATTTTAACCCTCTGAAGCCCAGACCAGCCAGAGGATTCTGTTTAACTGTCTGCAGGACTTAATGTTGCAGAGAAACATGAGAACACAGCGAGTAAAAGACGCCCAAAACTCAGCATAAATGATCCTTAAAGCACCACTTCTGATGATGACGGCATTTTAATTTTCTGTTTAATGGTGAATGAACTAATAAAACTGTAAATAGATTCACTAAAGACTGTTTAAAAGATGCTCCAGGATCAGAGGGTCAGTGTCTCCATGTGGTGCTGATGCTGCTGTGGTATAAATCTGTGCTTCAGGACAGATGGACCAGACTTCTCCTTCATCTCCCTTCATGGTGGAACAGCATCCATCTCACATCAGGAGAACTCTATTCAACGTGATGGACTTTAGTCGGCGGCCGCTCGGGTTCACATCGACGCTGAACCAGAACACACAAACTGTGCTGTGACAATAACATGTGAAAGCAGAGAGTATTTTGAGGCTCCTGTTGGCCGAGGAGGAGCAGCGCTCTGAGCTGCAGCTCATCCTCTGTGTTTATGTTTGTCTCCAGGATTAGGCCTTTAACCCGATCACACCATCATGATGGACTTTAGGGGACTTGAACTGGGCTTGATGGGATCATTCTTGTTGTGTTTCATGTTCTGTTCGCTAAGCTCCTGGACGGCACCACGGCCACGGACAGGAGCAGTGGAGTCTGGCTCAGAGCTGATCCACGCTGGACTCTGTTTGGTTTGATTAATCCCTGAACGGTAAGAATGTGAATGACTGTAAAGAAAAGAGTGATCATTAGACACAGAGTGGCTCCATGAGATCTGATCAGCTGATCAATCACCCCATCATGGAGGCCGACTGCTCTGTTCAGCTCCGACACACCAACACAGACTGGACCTCGCTGATAATCCAGAATGATTCTGATGGATTAAAGACCTGGACTGAACTGAAGACAAACGATTTCAAAAGCTGCTGATAACAGAGACTAACGTGTAAATGTGACCGACTGCTTCAGCTCTAACCAGAAAAACAAACGTGAGCTGAAATAGTTTTAACAAACGAGATTAACTGGCTGAAAACAATCAGGTTTAAAATCCTGTTTACAGTAAGAGCCAGATGTTTGTGAGGCTTCTTCACGATGGACTCGTTGTTGTTGAGCCACAGGAGGTCACTCACCTGAGATGTCTTCACATCGTTTATCAATGTCTTCTTTTTAAAGGTAGATTAATCAATTAAAGCTGAACAAACCTGTTAATTAACCAGTTTGTTGGACATAAAACTAGAAGCTGTTTTGATTAATCAGGAAAGATTCTGTGTTTTTATCATTTGTAAGTTCAATATGTTGGATTTTTATCTGATTGAATTAAAGGTTTGTAGATGGATGAAGAAATATTTTTTTCCCCAAATTTTCAAATATTTAACAGAAAGAATTAATAAATGACAAAGTCTATGAATCCCCAAAGCTTAAAGAAAAGAAGTTAAATACAGAAATGACCAACATCAGGTTATTCACCAGCAACAAACCTGCACCAGATCTGAGCCGTAGATCATCCTGTCTGATCAACACCTCTTTAAAACACCAAAGGTGCCAAACCCAGACTGGAGCCGGTAGTGACTGGGCTTCACCCTGCAGCACCGTGACCGTCAGGCTGAACTGCAGGCAGTGTGGACCTGAGAACCTGTGGAGCTTGTCTGTAGATAAACCACGTTGTGACGGCGTCGTGGAGCCCGACCCTGGTGCTCCGTCACGTGTCGCCTCCACAACAGCTGGCTGCTCCGGAGGCTGAGGTTTAATCAGCAGGACCGGACTGCTGCTGGTTTAATTGAACGAGGTCGCTGAGGACACGAGTCAAGAACTCCCCCGTCCATAACCGGAGCCTAAACACAGCCTGGGAGGGTTTTTAAAGAAGGATCTGCAGCTTTATTCAGCCAGCGACGGCGAGCAGGCAGAGACACAAGAAGGACCGATCGCAGACACCACAAACAGACTGATGGTGCCGTTGGACCCAGCAGAACTGAGCTCGCCTTCACGTCTCTGACTCACAGGAAACGAGATCCTCCTTCTCAGTCCTGTCCACAAACTTATGGCCAGATTTAAAACACCAGAAGATATAAACCCAGCAGACATCAGTTGGACACGTAGCTGCATTCTGACATAAATAACTGATGACTTCACGACGCCGTTCTGCTGCTTTCTGACTCAGAACCGGTCCAGAACACTGAAGCGTCTGGACGTTTGGTCGCTGCAGAACGATTCAGTTTTCTACTCATGTGTTTGTCACATTTTAAATGAGCAAAAAATAAAGAAAAAATAAAGAACAACGTGTTTCTACAGACATTTGGCATCACTTATACATGAATGACTGGAACTTGGTCGTGTTGTGTAATCAGGTTTCACACATTTTCTCTGTTTGGTTAAAGTTCAACTAAAAACTTAAAATCCCAGAAACAATATTTGAAGTTGTTGTTTGAGCTTAAAAGCTGTGAGCCACGTCCACATCAGTAATCTGTGGGTCACAAAACTGGATCATTTCACAACATGTGACCAGAAAACTGCTCATTTAAAGATGCTTTAGTTTTAAAATGCATTATTTTTACACATATTTAAAAGAAAAAATAGATGTTTAAACTGTTATTTTACAGATTTTCTCCACTTGTTTTAATTCTAACTAATAACTTGTATGAAAAATATATATTTTAGCAAATAACCATAAAAAACTGTGAAAAACTGAACAAATCAAAAGTCTGTATTTTTACAAACATGAATTGGTTCTTTTACAACATGTGGCCATAAAACTGCAGCTTTACTGTGTTCAGAGCTCCACAAACACTTTTCTGATGTTTGCAAAAGAAAAACAGCAGCTTCACTGTTTTTAGTATTCGTTCTTATTCTGGCCCGTCTGCAGCCACATTCACAGTTTAAGGAGTTTGTTTGTATTTTCACTACGTTGACGTCAGAGTTCTCCATCTCTGTGGAGTCTTCACTCACTGGCTTCTTCCTGTAGGAACATCTACACAAAACCATCCTCCAGCCACATGTCCACGGGCTCTGAGCAGCTCCACACAGACAAGGAACTTTCTGTAAAGTAATCACCACACATGAGAACATCCTCAGACTAAAACACACAGAACATCACAGCACTCGTTAGCTTCCATCCATCATCTCTACACCTTCATCCTCACCAGGGTCATG